TTGATATTTAATTACTATTTTACGGTTTTTCAGAACTTTGATGGAAACTCATTCAGATAGTTATTAGGTTGATCACGAGATGCCAAAATCTGATGCAAACTTTTCTGTATGGCTAAATAGCTGAAATATCACAGCGATATCAGAAGCTATATTTTATTTTGCTCTTTGCGGCAACAGATTGTCGGTTACCCGATTCTAATAAAAACGATTGTGTCTTATCTCACTTAGGTACAATTCAGTCAAATATTTTTTACAAAAGCGCGTCATCAGGTTAGGTAATACGGCACAGTCCTTATCAGGCAGCAGCGGTGGCCGCAGTAGTAGACTCTTCGGTCTCCTGATCAGTCGCCGTGCTATGTGCGGGTTCGAGTCCCGTCCCAGGAGAAATTTTTCTTTTGGCTATGGATGTTGTGATTGTCCGTAGGTGGTAGACGGTCTCTGACTGTCGAACGCGGAGGTACCACCCGGCGGATCTCGTAGGCGGAGCCAGAATGTGTGCATGTTGCATGTACACGTGTTTCCTCGCCAGAGTCCGTGTGTCGTTCCCCATTTCCCATGTATCCCCCTATAGCCCCACGGTACCCAATGGGTGATTAGGCTTTAGGCCTTCGTGGTAGTTGGAGTATATAAAAAAAATAACGGTAATACTTTTTGTACAGGCCAGTGAACTACCGAATTAATCTACTCGACTCCTTTTTTTCAAAGTTAGCGTAAACTACGCTTTATCCAAGTTAAAACAGAATACATTAGCAGTTAATCTGCTTCATGTTTAATGTTATCTAGAGAACAACAACTCAACGAAAAAGTTTTAATCAAATTGCCTCGACTGGCAACTAACTACACCTGAGACGTGTGTAGCTCTCACTTACTAACAAAGGGTGATACGAGAGAAGGTATGAAATTTGATATTTTTTTTGCTCGTGGACAGAAACAAGATCTTGAAATTGAATCGCGAGTGAATCAAATACCGGAATTCATTCTTTACAGAGCCAGTAAAATGTCAAATTTTAGTTATTTGAGCGATTAAAAGTTATAATCTCTAAGGTATTTAAAAGATGTTGCAGGGACAAAGAAATGCAGCCTGAGACCATGAGAAAATGAACCACAGCTTTTTATGGAAATAGAGAAATTCTCATTAGCAACATGCGAGTACTGCAGAGCCATTAGTGCTTGAAGAGGGACGCCCCGCTGTAAACTTTCTGTTCCAAATGGAAAAATAACAGACGCTATTATAACATTAGCTTCCATAACATTTCTTAATTTTTGCAATCTCCAAGGTTGGGCATTTCTTTGAATTTTATTCTTTTACCGAGTGGCGTGAAGTATCTCGTTCTAGGTATCTAGTACGGGTTGTGTACATGATTTCAGTCTAGCGTGAACGCAATAAAGACGTTGAAGGAAGTTTCTAGAGATAAGTTTTGAACTGATTATCGTTTTCAGTAAAAGGAAAAACGTCGATTCGTAGACGTTCACATTATTGACAGAACAAGGGTTGTATCGATTCAGAACTTCACCTGTCTCACTGACTTTGAATTAATAATTACTATTAATTATTAGAATTATTTACGGATGTTGCCAAATGCGAGTTCTGCTCTGGAAATCGATTCCAATAACTTTTGGCTATACGCTGTAGGTTTTTAGTTTAATGCGTTGCTCTGAAGTAAGAGATTGGGTGTGTTTTTACTCAACTTTATGTACTCATTGCTCCAGTTTTAACGCAGATAATTGTGACATTCATCACGATAAAGTCAACAATATGTTGGGTAAATTCACTGGATGAAGTATTCAATTTATAACATTTGAGGCATGTAGTAATTTACTCATTATCCCCTAATTTTTCAAGAAGCTGGCCGGGCTGTTATTTTCATTAAAATCTAAATCGAACGCTTTCCTTCAATCACATTGACTTATAAGTGGCATTCTTCTGTTGGGCAATAAAGATATATTATTATTAATAATAATCTTGAAAAGTCTTGCTTGAAATTGAATTTCCAGTAGCTCTATAATGGAGCCAGAGTTACGTAATCGTAAAATAAGATCTTTAATTTCTATTTCTTAAAGTTGATACTTCGATTTTTGACTTTTTCTCACTATAACTTTGAAGCTAGGCAAGTTTCAGATTCTTCTTATGCCACCTAAGACTTTTAAAAATCCTACTTTCATTACGTTTCGCGATTGCAGTAATTTTCTTGCACCATCTATCGTAAAATAAGATCTTTAATTTCTTTTTTTAAACTTGATACTTCGATTTTCGACGTTTTCACACTATAACTTTGAAGCTAGGCAAGTTGCAGATTCTTCTTATGCCACCTAAGACTTTTAAAAATCCTACTTTCATTACGTTTCGCGATTTCAGTAGTCATTTTCTTGCACCATCTATGAGACAGTAGCAGAACACAAACATGAATTTAGAAATCTAGGCTGGCGCTAGGATCTTTAATTGCTTCTTGGCGTTTCTCGAATGCCTATTTTAACGGAAACGGAAAGCAAGAAAGCGTATGTAGTCAATTGAAAGATTTGAAACATTTTGCGGATTAGCAGGCACAACCTCAGTTGCAAAGGAAATTGCTCGCCTGAATATACAGGCAAAAATATTTTGATCTCCAAGGACTGTTGATCAAGGCCAGAGCCTCTCTGCATCTTATCCATCGGAGCTCTGACAACTGTGCTAAAAGAGCACAGTTATAAAGTGTTCAGCTATCTTAGTGAGGTAGTAGCAAAACACTACTTATCTTTGTCCAGACAGCAACTTCGGTTTGCCACAGGCATTGCGACTGGACACTGTCAGCTAAGGAAACATCTTTGTAACTTGAAATTGAAGGCCACATCCTATGTAGAGGTTATGAACAGGAAGATGAGATAGTCAAGCACTTGTTTTGTGACTGGCCAGCTCACCTATCATCGCCACATTTTTCAACAGTCTGGGAAGGACGTGCTGTGATCTATACAGAATACCAAATACAGAAGTAGATCGAAATCTAACGATCGCCAATTACCAATGGTTTCGCCAAGCTGATTTTTATCATCATCCACGTACGATGACTCCAGTTAGAGTGTAAGATGGTGATCGTCAGATTTCCATATACTTGCGCACAATGTGTAGAATGACCACATTTACTTGTTTGCTTTCCGTTTCGTCTGTCTTCACCTAGACCCAGGACCTATTCATATATTTGAACAAACATGGTATTTACCAAACACTAAAATACAAAACCACGATACAAATATAATTTCAGAAAAGTATTTTAGATAGAAGATCTAAATATGTATTTTGTATCTTTTATCTGTATTTCACGTGCTTGTATCTTAAATAAGTCACATCATCTCTGGCTGTGTTCAGGTAGAATACGTTAATTAATGCAATTGGTCAATTTTAAGATATGAGAGACAGATAATGCTCCAGGACAACAAGAGCAATGGGGACATCTACATACTGAGAAATCGGGTTCCAAACTCGATACGTAGTTCAAGCAAGTGGTACTATCTTCATATTTTTATTTCCTCTTAAAAGTACATTCACCATTCTCTAGCTTTCGATTTCAAGTGTCATCGTTAACAAGTATTATTTATGCGATTCTCTATCTAATGTACCTATTTAATAAAGTTGCTCTTATTAGGTATCATTTTCCAGTAAATACTAGTTAGGTCGTTCCGAGCATGTTTTCAGAACCTGTTACTGGTCATTACATCGTACCGGTCAGTAGTTGTTGCCTGTCAATTATATTAACCTATAACACCGGTTTACTTGAACTCTAATTATCAACTTTTAATAATTTATGAAAATTCCATGGCATAGGCATGTTCGATCGTCGCAAAGTTAGCAAAAGGGTAGATTAGAATACAGCTTCCTACGGTGGTGGAATATCTCGAAGCGTTTTCATCATATACGGGTACCCATTGTGTGTAGGAAGGGACAGTTTTATCTCTTTTGATAAGAGGCACTTTATATTGCTGGTGGTGTATCTGGCCTCTTTTAAATGACATTTGCATTTTGGAGGTTGATGCAGGACGACCTTGACGTACATGATATTTTGCTTAGGTCCTCATGAATATCATGGCAGAGTAATGGGATTTAGTGTCGTATCGTCAGTTGTACCTATAATTGTTGTAGGACGCCTTTAAGGCCTCCTTGATTTTCATAGCTTTTCTTTTCCGTGTCAGCGCTCTATATACAAATATCTATTTGCATCAAATTATTCATGCTTTTAATTTATGTCATCTGTTATATGAGCCTGAAATTTTTTACAATTCAAATAGAAAATATAGTCTCACAATAAGAGAGCGCGAACGCTGACACGGAACAGTAGAAATCTAAAAATACCCCAGCCCTTCTGAAGGAGAGAATCAATGAAAATCAAGGAGGCCATAAAGGCGTGCTACAATTGTAGGAACGAGATGACGATATGGCCCTTAGAATCATTGAACTACAGATTAGAGGGCGCAGAGTTGGACGTTTTGAACCAGTTAACCTTATCCAATTGAGCTGAAATTTTGTATACACGGTCAGTTCGCATGGCAATACAAAATAAATATACTTTGAATATGGCTCATCTTACAAAATGGAGTTTCATTATTTTTATAGTAAACCATAAGATATGGATATCAAATGTAAGGGACTTAGAAACACAATAAGCAAACTGACGTTATATTAAATCCAGTATGGCGGCCATCGCAAAGTGGTGATTTACATTTCCCAGAGACGTTCGTAGCAAAATATCGATTGATCATTACATGATTTATATATATATATAGAAATTTTATAATACAAATAAAATGAGAAGTTATATGGAGTCCTGTTAATGAAATATATGAACACATACAGAAATTACCGAACTCGTTATTTGACATCATGAATACTAAAAAGTAAAAAATAAATGAAGCTAAAATAAACTTTTATTTAGCTGTTAATAAAATGAACTAATTATATATAAATATTTTTTCCGATTGAAAATATTTCAAGCATGATGAAGCTCCAAGTTTTAAGTAAAAGCGCGTCATACCCTTTTTTCATACTGCTGTCAAACGTAATAGGCTTTTATTTGAAAAATTGAGATGAAAGAGCTTCATTATCGAAATATTACCAATCGGAAAAAATAATTACTCAATTTTCAGTTCATTGTATTAACAGTAAAATAAAATCTTGTTTTTAAATATTTGTTTCTTTACTTTATTCATCAACTTTGGAAAGACTATGCTTCAAGAGTCACCATCTTGAATATTCAATGTGAATATTTTGTTTTTTGAAACTAATATATACTCGTACTATGTACTGGTTTTGAGTCTACATTCGCCCACTTTTCCAATGATATTATACGTTATAAGTTTGCGTCTTTTTTTTCCTCTGTGTGTTATTTATAGCTTGTCGGGTAATACTTGTCTTCAAATCATTGACAGAATTTGCAGTTCCAGTGGTGGCAGAACAACGATCTAGCACAAGCATTGATCTCTTTATATCGTAAAATACTGTCTGGACTGAACTTTTGATAGTAGATCGTTACTATGGCAGAAGCTTTACAATTCCTGGGAATCGTTCTAGTTGCGGCGGAGATTATGTTAAAAATATAAGAAATCAAAAATGCGCTGGAATCTCTTTTTTTAGACAATTATCCGTTGAAAAAAATAATTCACAGAGTAGGCATTCAGGCAAAGGTAATCAAAAAATTATAGTGATCCACGAGGTTTCAAAGTATCATCATTAATAATAAACAGTAACGTTTTTTCAATTCGACCTACCATCACGTTTAAAGTACTTACGGAAACTTCATAATTATTTTATTGAACCCACAATGCTTCCTTCTTTTCACTCATTTACCTTTCGATGACCTCGTAGTGGCAAGGAGTAATGGTACGTCCATTTAAAGTAACCTATAAATCAACGCGTAATCAAATACTAATAACGCTTCACTTCACGACACTAGGATCACTTGGGATATTCATAGCTTATCATTCACAGTACCGGCAATTATTTTTAACGGTAGTATCCATTGAAAAAGTCTATTTGGTCCATTTATCCCGTCGCGAATCTGCGGAAAACCGAATCGCGCCAAGTGAAAGTCTCTGTAGTGAGCGGCCGTCTAACGATAGTAGTACCCTAGTGCTGGTACTACTTGCCTCTCGGATGTGTGCAGTAGTACAGTGAATTTCGATTTCGACGTGAACTCATTGACATTGAGTGACCGGCTGCTTAGCACCTTATAGACTAGTCGATAAGGTCCTGAAGCGATTTTGAAATATTGAATAGTTTGGTAGTGTTCAGTTCCTCTACTTCCAAATGGTGTTCTAGGGCCAAAACAATGATATGTCGTATGAGAAATTTGATCTCAAGTTCGTATACGACAACTGACAATCTGGCCGATGCGCCGGCGGTCATAACCTACAAGTCAAATCTTCATAAGTATCGGTATGCCGGATTGCTGAATACTTAGCTAGTCATGGTAACGGAAGCACTACTCTTATCAGGTTGCCAGTTGTATTCAATATCAAATTTCATAATATAGAATATTAAAGCGAGCGGTAGTAGTTGATGGTATTTATCAGTGTCATAGTTGCTTTTATTCGTCGTATCTTGCAGAAACGCAGACTACACTTTAGGAATATAAATCTGAGAAACAGTTAAAGAGGTACGGGAAATTGAAATGAAGAACTTATAGTCATCCAAACAGATCTCAAACTAAAAACCCTAAACAGTTTGATTGTTGCTAAACACCCGCCTAGTTTCAATGATTACGAGTACGAGTCTGAACGCATCATTAGTGCTAAAACAAACTGAATTGGACCCTACTGAGTTAGGGTATTATTGGAACTAGGAGAAGCGACAACATGTGAATAGATATACATATTTGGATTTTCTCTCGCGATCTCGTTTTTGGGCTGACATTTTCTTGAATCTTTGTTGTCGTAGGCAGGCTGACAAGATTTCTACCTTCAAACCAGAAGTATACTTTCTCGAAGGTTTTTGATATTCTGAATTCGAATCCGTAGTCTAGATCTCTCAACTGGATCTAGTTTCCGAGATATCCTAACCTAAAGGTGCAAAAATAGCGATTTTTGTCTATAGCTGAGTAGCTGTAGCATGGTGTATTTTTTTTCAAAAAGCAGAAATCACCTCTAAATACAAGCCTTGCCCTTTCAAGTTCCGTTGAGTTTACTTGAATGCCTTTTTTGTTTGCAGAGATATGGAACTTTGAAATTTTTAATTTTCTGAATTTCACTATATTTGATATTATACATTATGATTACGTGTGCATGAAAGGTGTGGTTTGGATTATAACACATCAAAAACTTAATAACAGGTTGATGTATATCTCTGAAACTACTATCCACTATCTAACTATCCACCCTACCCTATCAAGGACGAGTTTAACGGTCTTACCTTCAATTGCACATAAAAATTAGATTCTTTCAATAGAACGTGAGCCTGTCTGGATCAGAAAACTGTAAACTTTAAATTTCCAAATCTCAGAGAAATATAAAGGTACTTAAGCAAATTCAACAGCATTTAAAGGGGCAAGGCAAGGCTGACTTTGTGGTGATATATATGTTTTTTTTAATATTCGCTCAAATATAGTAATATCGCTATTTGTATACTTTTAGGTCAGGGTATTTCGGAAACTAAAGCCAATTGCGAGATTTGAAGAACGGATTCGGATACAGCAGATCTAAAACCTTCAGGAAGATATACTCTGGTTTCTGGGTAAAAGGGTCGGTTCACTTTTGTCGGCCTGTGCTATTCATCGACACGAAAGAGAATTATACTGACTCTAGAATGCTTTCACATTGTTATTTGGTTTCAATTTATACGAGCAGTCACTACAGTAGTCACAGTACACCAAGTCTGAATTAAAAGCTTTTCGAGATAGACAGAAAAAATGCTATCGCTCCACCTTAAAGCTCCGAGAACGTTATGGCACGCTTGTTCGTTTACAATGTAGTATATCATCACAATATTAGTCTCGCAATATTTTTATCACAATATTGAGTGTTGGCTGAACCTGTTTGCTTTCCGTATCTATAACCATGACTAATCACAAACAACTTTGTTTCGTGCTTTTTAGCAACCATCAGTATGTTATTGGTCTGGTCGTGTGATTCATATAAGGGGAAAGAAAATAAGCTGTTATATCAAAGAGGCACCAACACTGACAACTACCACCGAAAATAATGGGTGATTTTTTTGCTAGTATCTTTTTGGCAACACTGTTTTTGACAGATGACGCGAGAATCGTGTCTTGTGTCATTGTCAAACTTGTTCAGTTTGGTCTATAATTTAACCATGAATCGACTTACGAACGAACAACGCTTGCAAATTATTGAATTTTACTATCAAAATTCATGCTCGGTTAAGAGAGTGCATCGAGCACTGCTTCCAACTTATGGGCAATTTGGTCGGCCTACTAAGGGAGCTATTCGGAAGCTTGTGACTAAATTTCGAACCCAGTTTACATTATTGGACATTAAACCACCAACACGCAGACGTAGAGTGAGGACTGAAGAAAATATTGCGGCTGTATCCGCCAGTGTTAGTGATGACCGTGAAATGTCGATTCGCCGCCTTTCGCAGCAATTGGGCTTTTGTTACTCCACTACGTGGAAAATTTTGCGACAGGATTTGGGTGTAAAACCTTATAAGATACAGCTGGTGCAAGAATTGAAGCCACACGACCTCCCACAACGTTTCCCATTTGGTGAATGGGCGCTGGCAAAGTTGGAGGAAGATCCACATTTTTATCGAAAAATTGTGTTCAGCGACGAAGCTCATTTCTGGTTGAAAGGGTACGTTAACAAGCAAAATTGCCGCATCTAGAGTGAAGACCAGCCAGAAGCATTGCAAGAGCTACCAATGCATCCCGAAAAAATCACTGTTTGGTGTGGATTATGGGCCGGTGGCATCATCGGGCCGTACTTCTTCAAAGACGACAATGGCCGGAACGTAACTGTGAATGGCGAGCGTTACCGTGCGTTGATAACAAACTTTTTTTTGCCCAAAATGGAAGAGCTGGTCTTAGCTGACATGTGGTTTCAACAAGACGGTGCCACATGCCACACCGCACACGAAACAATGGCCCTATTGAGAGGCGAGTTCGGTGAACAGTTTATCTCACGTTTGGGGCCCGTCAATTGGCCGCCTAGATCGTGTGATTTAACGCCGTTGGACTATTTCTTGTGGGCCATGTTAAGGCTAATGTCTACAGGGATAAACCAGCAACGATTGACGCACTGGAAGCCAATAGTGAAGCATTTATTCGTGAGATACCGGCCGATATGTTGGAGAGTGTGTGCCAAAATTGGACCTTGCGCATGGGCCATCTAAAGCGGAGCCGCGGCCAACATTTACATGAAATAATCTTTAAACATTAAATTATATCGACCGTTCTATCGACTCAAATAAAGATTTAATCGTTTTTTCAAATGTTTTGTGTTTTTTTTTGAAAATCAAGTCCTATACCTCTTAAAAAATCACCCGTTAGTTCGCCAAGCTTGATATAACTTCGGCAAATAAGCTCAAAATGCCACTCCTAAACTGTTAAACACTACACTGGAGGACAGTTTATTTATTTATTTGTACATAATTGCCCAACAGACTAACCCAATTACAGGTAATATATTGGTAACTTAACTAATAGTATGCATTTAAGAACCGCATGAAACGAACATAAAAAAATAGCTTTCTGGCAGTCCCTGAAGTTTGACAAAGTTTTACTGCTACAATCGAAATTCACGTAAGAACTGTTTTGCTATGGAATTATAATTATTGCATACTTGTATAGAATGCTGTAGCCTAATACGTTGGTACGGGAGGTACTGCAATAGAAAAAGAGTCCTTCTCGAGTTTAGACGCGGTATACAAAAATGCAACCTCTTGAGAAGTTCTGGTGCATAAAATCCGTTGTGTAAAAGCTTATGGAAGAATGTCAGGCCCGCAGTGGAACATCTCAATTGTAAAGACTCTAGGTTGAAGCGTCGCAGCAGAATACATTGACTGATCCTCTTTGGATATATGTCATCAATTTA